AAAAGCCTGAAAGAAAATATTTAAAACACCTTCAATAAAAAGCTCATGAATGAAAGAATGTGTAGGAAAAAGTAGTTCACTAAGTAGTACTATGAAATGTCTGTCATGAGGACCAGAATCAACACTCATCCTTCATGGATAGTATAAGGTAATCCCTTCAGTTATGGAAGGATTAACCCAGGAATTCCTTCTAGGATTACAGGAATTAATACATGGTTTTAATTAAGGGGAAAAAAGTATAAGAGGGCATTCCCTTGAGCCTCTTACATGCTTTATGCAGACACCGTGCTTATTCTTTACACTATAACCACCACAACTTCCTAGAACTGACTCAGGCATATAATATCCATTCAGTAAATAACTGTGGAATAAGTGAATTAGAAAAAAATAATATCAAAATGTAGTATTTGTGGGAAGTTATATTCAGAGAGTTTGGAAAGTAGAGGCAAAGCTTTAATTCAACAGGCAGTGGTGAAGAAACCAAAGGAATTAAACAAGTCTACCTTACAAGAATCATCGCTATAACTGAACAAGAGTTTGACCTAAAGGACTCTAAATAAGAGTGTGAGAAGAAAAAGATAAATAACAAAAGCATTTGCAAAAATTGGTGATTAACTACTACAAAAGATTTGGCAGAGGACAAGGTATTCATGTTTAATCAACATGGTGTTTTACCAATACAGTGTTAGTGGGGAAAAAAAATTCCAACATATGAAGACATTAAATGGCACAGATAATAATGCTAAATGTAAGATAAAATTCTCACTTGCTTCTCCAAATGAACTGAGTCAAGACATTCAAATTGTCATGTGTTTTCATGTCTGGTATCTTAACATTTGTAACAAAATTAATGGCATGTACTCTCTAAGGATGGAGTTGCAAAGATTCAGTGAGAAAGGCTAAAGAAGAGAAAGGGAAGTAAGTGAAAAACAGAAGAAAATTTAGGGATCAAATTTATGCGAAAATAAGCATAAATTACTGCAGCCTGCTGGTTATGAAAGGTGAGCTCAGGAGATCTCTGAACTGGACCATCACACCCCAGGCTGGATTATCTATGTATTATCCATTAGCTTATACTTTAGTACTTACATCTTTTCCTCTTAATCTCACTATTTTCAAAAATTTCATTAATTTTCTATATTTGCTTTCATGAGTATCTCCAACACTAAGCCATGAGTTCCTTCAAGATGAAGCATGTGTCTTAGAGCTTTGATTCTCTCCCCACGACCATGCAAGATACATTTTAATTGTGGAAAATCAATTGAGCGGATGATAGAAAAACATCACATCAAAAAAATTGATGTGAATAAAAATTATAAGAATTTGTTGGTAAAGGCGTGGAAGCACTTTCATAAAGCAAAAAGACCATAACATGTGTATAAATATATATATTTAACACACATATAATATGCATATACACTTTCATATGTTGGCGGGGTTGTGGGGAGAAAGGAACCCTCTTCCATTGTTGGTGGGAGTGCAGACTAGTGCAACCACTATGGAAATCAATATGGAGATACCTCAAAGAGCTTGGACTCTAGGTTCCATTTGACCCAGCCATCCCTCTGCTGGGTATCTTTCCAAGAGAACTAAAAGAATCATATCACAGAGAAGTATGTGCACCCATGTTTATAGCGGCACAGTTTGTAATAGCTAAATCTTGGAAACAGCCTATTTGCCCATCCGTTGGAAACTGGA